TTCAGTCGGGGCATCAATGTAAACTGAAGCAGTTAAATTTCATGGAAGATGAAGATTCTCAAGAACAAATAACAAACGAACAGCAGGAAAGGGCGGATACATGGGTGGAAAACAATGAAGGAGATTTGGAAATTTCCATCAACGCTTTGACTGGAAACATCATCCATAACACTCTACGAATTCAAGGGTCTGTTAAAGGAAAACCACTGAATATTATCGTGGACAGTGGCATTTGAGCACGACTAATGGAAACCGAAAATGCAGCACGACTAACAGATCTCAAGATGATGCCGAGAAGTAGAACTAAACATCATTTGAGCAGTGAACAAAGTAGATGAAATCCTAAGGACAACAGAGGAATGTACCTGTGAAAATGGTGAAATTTGCACCTGAATTCAAAGAGTCGAGCGTTGATGGCGTAATGATGGAGGCCTCGACGGCTTCGAGCGGTGACGAGAAGCAGCAGTTTTATGTCGATATTTGGGTACGTCCGGCAGAGATGGGAAATAGGAAAAGGGGAAGCGTTTTGCAAGATTAAAATTATAAAACATTGCGGCGTTTGTCAAATAAACACCACTAAAGTATGAGTTTTTGTGGCGTTTGTATACACAAACGCCGTTAATGTAACCATTTTGTGGCGTTTTGGATATAAACGCCGCACTATGTAGAAATTTAGTGGCGTTTTCTTTGAAAACGCCGCTCTAAATGCCACTAAAATTTTTTATTTTAGGACCAACACAAAATTTAATCCATCCATATAAGTTCATACTTTTATAAAGAAACAAAGTTTTGATTGTACCCATTTCCCACTATACTTGGGAAATTGAAATCCTCTTGAAATAAACACATTAAAGAGCAAAACAAATTAGAAAACTTTAAACACTAAATACAAATTTTTATAAAAGATATTAGCTTTAGTCTAAGAGCAAATAATGTACTAGCAGGCGACGGCAGCGTGATGGTGCGCTTGTGGTGAAGATTGCACGGGGGTGAGTTCACTGTAATGGCTGAGCATTAGTTAGGAAAATTAGGACATTGTGAATGAAACAATAGGGATTTGAAACCCAATAGGTTAAAGGATTGGACAATCGCGGCATTTATAATAAAAACGCCATTAAATAACATGATTATTACGGCGTTTATTACAAAAACACCACTAAAGTACATGACTATTGCGGCGTTTAAACAAAAACCACTAAAGAATAAGTATATAGCGGCGTTTGTATAAAAACGCCACTAAAGTACGAGTCTATAGCGGCGTTTGTAAAAAACGCCACGAAAGTCTTAGTCTTTAGCAGCATTTGTATACAAACGCCACTAACGTAAGAGTCTTTTGAAGCGTTTGATCAAAAAACACCGCTAAAACACCAAATGTCACTTTTATTTTAAGTCTATCATATTTTGGTTATCCGCTTTGAAAAAAATACAATTTACTTATTGCGGCGTTTTTTCACTATAGATGAACACTATTGTGGCATTTTAATAAAAACGCCGCTAAATTACTACTCTATTGCGGCGTTTGTTGTAAAAACGTCACTATATGCGTACTCTATTGCAACATTTGTATAAAAACGCCGCTAAAGTACTACTCTGGTACAACGTTTGTAGAAAAAACGCCACTATAGATTAATCATATTGCGCGTTTGTATAAAAACGCTGCGAAAGTTATCATTTTGTGGCGTTTGGAAGAGAAACGCCACTATATGTTTAATGTTAGTGGAGTTTACTCTCAAAACGCCGCTAAAAAGGCTATTGTAGAACAGTAATGATATAGTCGAAGAAAAATAAAATTTTGATATCTAACTCTTATCCTTAGTATCTATTTATAGAGATAGCTACTTGATTACAAATGAAACTAAATAAAGTAAAAAAAAAATCTACTTTATAAAAAAAATACTTTAATAAAATTATCTATTTTAATCAAATTAGGTTTATTACTTTCTCAATTAAATTATGTCACTCTGGTTTTGAGTCAAACTTTAACAATTATTATTTAGAAAAAATCAGGGAAATATAAAAGGGATTCGTGACAAATAATGGTCAGATTTAACGGTTGTTACAGTGTAGTCACCTAGAAGTGTAAACACCCAAAACTGTAACGGTCATTACAGCGTAGTCATCTAGAAGTGTAAACACCCAAAAGTTTTACACTTAAAATTAACTTAAGATATAATTTGGACACTTATTTTTACAATAAACTATAATATATATGGATGATACAGAGATTTTGACGTAACAAACATGATTTCATAAGTAAATAGAGATTCTGCGAAAGAGCATAGAAATCTGACGAAAACAAGTGACCAGAAATGTTAACTGGTAAGATTCTATTAGTAGTACAAAGAAGGTTAAGGTCCAAGATCTAACGACACCACCCACCACCACTTTTACCTTAATCCAGGATTTGAGAAGCAGGTTTCTTCTTTGTAAGTTAGTTACTGATGTGAAGGATGTTCAACTCTGAAGCATATATAGTTTTACTAGCCTCCGACAATTCCAGTGCGTCCAAGATTCAACCACTAACACCACCGTCATTTGAACTAATATTTAATGTTATTGGATAGCGACCTGACATGAAAAATGTTTTTCTTTTTTTCTAAACTAATAGGTTTTAATGTACTAAATTAGAACATAATCTGAACACATACATTATTGGGATTGTAGATGTTAGAGTTTGAAAAGTTGAATGCCATGGCATCAGCGAAATTAGATTACCAATAAATGAGCAATAAAATTCCACGCCCACTTCCCAACAAGTATGGGCAGCATTGAATTTGACAGAGCAGATCATAGCTCGTGCATATACAGCCAGTCAACTGACTGAAAACCCTTTTCCCTTTGGTTATTGTTGTCATGTAGCTCATAATTGTAGGGTCAACCGAGAAATCTCAAGGTTAGATTGGATTCATTTGATGTTAATTTTAGCATGTATATGAATTCATAATATATTCATGTTATTTTCACATTATGTTTTTTTGATGGGACAAATGAATTAGGTCAATCGTTCATAAATCATCTCTTTTAGGCGAAGAGTCATTGCCGATGATTATATGGTCGTTGACTAATGATGCTTGTAATGAAAAGGCAAAGAAGAAAAAGTTTTAGAGAGAATAATTGAAAATAAGGAAGAAGTTGAAGATCCCCTCTCTTACCTATCATATATCATAGGAATTTATATATTGATTCGTATTCTTGTGTCACGTCTAGTATCTGGAATGTTATGTGTACACCAACAGAATACATAATTATGGTCGTCAGTCAATAATTTTGATATTGAAAGACCTTTCAAGTCTATCAAAGATCTTGTTTAGGATATATGCTTGATCAAATGACTTATTTTAATAAGAGTCCCTCCCGAGGTAATCTCAATAAATGGAGTTGTTAAAGGAGATAGCCTCTGCAAATGTCAAAATTCTCTCAAAAACAACATTTGCACGAATTTATACGTCGCAAATTAATTTCCTTTAGACTTGTAAAAAAATTGTTACCATAATCAAGAATTCATTCATCACTTGATATAGAGTTTTCATCTAAAATAATCAGAAATTCATCATTATTGTAATATTCAACTACGTTAGCTTCACCATATTTTTACAGTCGTTTTTCCTTTTGATTATTGTTATTCGTTTAGTTCTTATTTTACAATTTATAACATTCGACTTTGATGTTTACTTTTTTCTTGTAATAATGACAAATTTTTCATGTGTTATTGGATTATGATCTAGCCTTGGCATCATATTATAACTCATTTCTTGAATTCTTCCATAGCAACGGAACCCTTTCTTATAGAGTCAAATTCAACCACAAAATATTTTATTTTATCGTACGAGATTAAAAAATTATAAATTTCATCGATTGTAAAAGACTTACGACTATATAAAATTGTAACTCTAAACAGTAAATAAAATGAAAGCAATAAACAAAGTTAAATTAAACCTAAACGTCTTTATCATATTTAACCTTCGTTACTTTTATATATGAGATAATTTCTTTAAAATAGGTAAGTGGTCTACCGATGAGTAATTTCTTTTAAAGAGCGAATACTAAGTTTTTGAGTTTAAAAATTTTATATTTTATCATATTGAATTTTTATATAAAATTTATTTTAAATTTTATATATTCTTATAAAACATGTACATTAATTATAATTTATTTATTTATTTATTAATAAAAATATTTTTAATATTTCATTTTAATTTTAATTGATATAATTTTTATAGGTTCAAACTAAAAATAAGTTTTTGAATTATATCTTTTTTATTTTAAGTGTCTAAGTTATATTTTATCGAAATAAATCTTTAAATGATTATATGTAAACAATTTAAGTATATAAATTATTTTTTTATTCAAAAAAGTATTTATTATGTGTGATATGTCAACCTCTTATTGACTGGAAAAAAAATCTAACTGGAAATTAGCAAGACTTAGAATAATTATATATAATAGTGCAAGGACTTATCTTGATCAAAAAAAAAATTAAGAACTTAAAGTAAAAAATATAGTTTAGAGATTTATTTTTACTTTAAGATTTTTATATATTATAATATTTAAATTTTCAAATATTATTTAAATATTTTTTTTAAAAATTTATATCATCATATGTAAAATAATTTCAATAATAATATTTAAAACTTCAGTTTGAAATTAAATAATTTAAAAACACATCTTAAGAATATTCTGTCATCTCATTTCTCAAATCAATCTTAAACGAGTATGAAAATAAAATAAAAGCGTAGATATGTAAACATATAATGAGCTGATGCGTTTTTTGTTCTCTGGGGTGCTGGTTTACCTGTTCGTGGGGCAATAAATAAGGAGGCTTAGTATGCAGAAGATGTGACTGCTGTTTGGACTTGGGATTACTAATTCTATCCCACTTCAATTTTAACATCCAAAAAGTTACTTGTATAACTGTTTTTCTTTCTCTTTTGTTCCATTGGACAGCGTAAAAAGGGTCCCATTCATCGAAAGGCACTCTCTCTCTCTAGGCACTTTGCTACAATCCCTGCAAGTGACTTTAGCTATGGTTTGATTCCTTTAAAGGCTGTGCATGCACTAGAATTGTTTTGTTTCTCTAAACTCTTTTCATAGGATCAGACTCAGATGTCTGATCGGAAAACTGGGTTTATGGCAGACCAACTATCAAAGACCACTTCGATTTTTGGTTTAAGATTATGGGCAGTTCTTGGAGTTTGTGTTGGAGCAGCTTTTGTTCTCTTCCTGTTCCTCATTTCCCTTTGGCTAGCTTCAAAACGAACTAAACGGAAGCCTTGTTCCAAACCAAGAATCCCGGTTGTTTCCAAGGAGATCCAGGAGATCAAAATGGAACCCCCAAAGCCTCACAGGACCCAAATTCAAACCGACCCTGACCAGAGTACAGGCATCGAAAGGCAGGCCTTGCTTCTTCCCTTGGAAGAGGAGAGCCCTACTGGTTTCCGTGGAATTCACATTGAGATTGGGAAAGATCATAAGATTTCATACCCTGGTTTATCCCCACAGACAAGTGGGGAGGCGCGTGTGGCTGGACCGGCGCCTGAAGTTTCACATTTGGGATGGGGGCATTGGTACACTTTGAGGGAGCTTGAGTTTTCCACAAATGGGTTTGCACATGAGAAAGTGATAGGCGAGGGTGGCTACGGGATTGTTTACCATGGTAGTTTGGAGGATAACTCTCAGGTTGCTGTCAAGAACTTGCTCAACAACAGGTGATTTTACTTGATTCTCCATAACACCATCTCAATTGCTGAACTAACTAGTTAAATGAAGCATCTGGTAATCTGCAGGGGACAAGCTGAGAAGGAATTTAAAGTTGAAGTGGAGGCAATTGGTCGAGTTAGACATAAGAATTTAGCAAGGTTGCTTGGTTACTGTGCTGAAGGAGCTCACAGGTAGTCTGGTTTTGCACCATTTTATGCAGAAAAATCTAAGAAATTTCTTGACAATTACTTGCTGCCTTGTTAGGATGCTGGTTTATGAGTATGTAAATAATGGAAATTTGGAGCAGTGGCTTCATGGGGATGTAGGGTCTTGTAGTCCTCTGACTTGGGATATTCGGATGAATATAATCCTGGGAACAGCAAAAGGGTTCGTTTAAGATCACATCGCTTTCGTTTTGGGTTTTGTTTGTGCCGTTTTCTTCCTGCATTGTTTTAATTTCTCATGACTGAATTATTTATTAGGTTAGCTTACCTTCATGAGGGGCTTGATCCTAAAGTTGTTCACCGTGATATTAAATCAAGCAACATCCTACTCGACAAGAGTTGGAACCCCAAGGTTTCCGACTTTGGCCTAGCCAAGCTCTTGGGATCTGAGAGCAGCTACATTAGAACTCGAGTTATGGGAACATTCGGGTTTGTATATGCCTCTGTTTCAATCTGTCTGCACCAGTGTTTTTGTGTGTTCAGTCATTTCTAATCTGTAATTTTGGTTCTTTTTTGTAGTTATGTAGCTCCTGAATATGCAAGCACGGGCATGCTGAACGAAAGAAGTGATGTGTATAGCTTTGGGATTCTTATCATGGAAATAGTTACAGGTAGGAACCCTGTTGATTATAGCCGGCCTCCAGAAGAGGTTCGTACCACATATCTAACACAACATCATTTTGTTGGTTGAATATGCAAAAGATTATTCCTTCTTGCTCTCCCTTGTTGCTTTTTGAGTAAAAGTCAAGATATTTCCAGGTGAACTTAATTGAATGGCTTAAGAAGATGGTTGCTAACAGGAATCCAGAGGGAGTATTGGATCCCAAGCTACCTGAAAAACCTACTTCAAGACCATTGAAACGAGCTCTACTTGTAGCTTTACGATGTGTAGACCCAAACGCGCAAAAGCGACCAAAGATGGGCCATATCATACACATGCTTGAAACTGAAGAATCCCCCTCCAAAGATGTAAGTACACAAATCTGCATGTAACTTATCTAAAAATTGCAATACAATTCGTGTAGTGCTTGATAATACAAACATCAAAGGTGACTGCAGAATCCAAACATCTGGTTTTTGTTCTTGAACTTCAATACATTTTTCATGGCGTTGAAAACCTTGTCCATTAGAAGTAGAGGTAGTTTCAATTTCGACGCTAAACAAATCCCTTTCTATTCATTGGTCTAAGCAACTTTTTTCAGGATAGTAGTAGAGCCGGAAGGGATGCTGGACAGGTACATTGTGACAGCACGAAGAATGAATCGACAGAGAAAAGGGTAGCGGATTCGAATGGCAATGAAGTTGCAGTAAATGCTGATCGTGCAGAATCATGATTTCATGATACCAGGAATGCGAAGAAGAAGAGCACTGAATATAATACGAAGTTGTTTGAGGTGAACTGCACATTCTAGGTTCCTTGTTTAACTTCTTGAAATGCCAATTACATGGTCCATTTCGTTATTCTTGTTAATTTGCTCTTCGATGTTTGTCAATGGCTTCTACCGGATAACTGATGTAACTTCAAAAGAATGTCTAGATCAAGTTATAATGATCAATTTGTTATCTAGGAGGGGCAACGAACTTTTAGTTTAATCATGTGATTCAGAGTCAAATTGTCACTGAACAATTGAATTTTCAACTATACAAATTAAATTCCGGATGATTATTATCAGCAACCATCTGCCAAATCATTATTGCCGTTTGTCAGCTGTTTGAGCCCATTTATGAACTATGAAACTATGCTTTGCATATTGAGAGGCAGCAGTTGGATGGTCTTATCGCTAATACATATTAAGGTCCCTACATCAATCTTCATAAACACAGAAAACTGTAGTTGATAGCTACACCTTCTATTAGAACTTTGAATCCATCTAACTTTTGTTGCATTTGTACATCCACAAATGCTCCTGCAAATTAAATAAAAGAACTTGAAGAAACTGAGTTACTCTGTAAAATGACAGCCGTATGACTTGAATCTTAGAATCTAAAAAAGAAAATAAAAGTCGGTGGAACTTACTAAATCAATAGTACAAGGCTGTATGAGATTCAGTTTGACAGTTGAAAACCTGGTCAAAATCAACAGCAATGAAGTTCGGCCAGCGAATCTCCAGCTGTTTTATCGCAGGTGTTGAGCATCCTAACAAGTGGAGATGAATTTTTTGCGCAAGCTACTGTCTCATTCGGATTAATCGGAAAATAGTTCTGGACAACCAATGATCTTGATTTGGAGGTGAGAACTACGAGTCTCTCGTTCTGCTTAACCATGTCATGCATGCAACTGGCCAATCTTGACCATTCGCTTTGAAATGTGAGCAAAAGAAAAGAAAGGGTTTGAGAGATTGAAGATGTCGAAGAAATTTAGAATTATTTCATTGATAATTCTCTTAACTGTTGCTTTACATCAGTTATACTATATACTAGATTATAAAGACACGACTCATTTTTTGACATGTGTAATTGATTTGCCTTCATCTACAGCAGCTTCCTCCTCAGCTATATCCATTGCTCCATAGGCTCGAATGTTGGTCTTATTTGTTCGCCAACCGACTCTTCTTGTAACACCCCACATTCGATGTTTATATGTTGTCGAGTTTGTGAGCATTGGCAGAGTCAGTATTGAATAAGGGTGTCAACTTACATCCAAGAAAAATGCTAATCTTTTCCCTCTACATAAATCATATAGAATTAAACTACATATTGATCATATTCGTTTATGTTTTGTTTATTTTTTCTTACTGATTTCAAAAAACAAAATATATGGACTCTTTTATTTTTATTCAATTAAGATGTAGTCTTTAAGAGTTAGTTGCCGAGTGTTGATAAAGAATTAAAAAGGGTAAACTACACAAATGATCACTAATATTTGAATAAATTTTTATTTTTCAACTGAAAATTTTAAAATAACAAATTTGTCGATACCATTTTATGATATATGTCCTCCTAAGCAGTTTCTTCATCCCTTTACTCCACACCGCCCATTAAAGCTTCCTTCACTTTTCCTATCCCAATTCATTCTCTGTTTGGCATCCAAGAAAATCTCACAAACTGCATCATTCTTTTCTCCTGAACTTTCCTTTACTTTCCAGTTAAAACCCATTTCTCTCTTACTTTATTCTAAAATCTAATGAAAACCCAGATTAAAATATCAAAACCCATTCTGGATCAATCATTTGAAAAATCGAAGTAATAACTAATTGAGAAATATCTTTTTAAGCTCTATGTCTTTCAATGCATGTAAAACCCGAAATAAAAAAATCCAGTGTAAAAGCTGAAAGTCGAACCAGAAACAAAACTCATTAATAAGCTAAGCATGTTAATTCCAATCCACCGCCGGTCTTTAAATTGAAGCATATTAAAAAGGACAATAATATGTGATGAAGCAAATAAATTTCACATTCAATAGAAAAAAAATGTAACACCCCAAATTTTGGTCATTAACTAAAATATAAGTTTTGAAAGTTTAGTGGCTAAAATATAAATTTAGAAAAATTTGGGGACTAAAAATGTAATTTTTAAAAGTTATATTTTTTGGCCATAAATAAACAGTTTAGTTCAAAATTAATGTTTTTGTGGGAATCATAATTTTATTCGGGAACAATATTAAAACCTATAAAGCATTAAAATTTGATAAAGAATCGGATAATTGAATCGAAACAAAATTTTAAGAAAATTTGAAGGATGGTAGATGAAGGTTGAAAATATTATTTACATATTTTATAACATTGAAATTTATTCTGGATCGGTAGAATTAAAGTTAATTTTTCCTATTTAGCCAGAATTAGGAAAATTTAGTAACTAAATTACAATTTTCAAAAATTGTATGGTTATAGTAGAAAGTCAATTTCAATTTGGTTTGTCTTTGACTATGAAATATTTTGATGGAATATATTTTTCAATGAAAAATGGTAATTATCATAATTCATTAATGGCAAAGTTGGAATTTCTTATTAAATGAATTTTAAATTCACTTGGTTTATATTAAGCCATGTGTATTAAGTGATTAGTGGGGGGAAATCATCAAAATTTCATCTTCTTCTTCCTCAACAAGCCGTGACTTCCATTGAAGGTAAGGGGAGCTTTTTAATTTGATATTTAAGCTTCATAGTTGATTTTTGGATTAAGCTATTAGTAGAAAATTAATCCACTTGAAATTCTCTATCATTTGGTATAAAATTTCATGGTGAATATGCTTTTATAATGAGATTGGAAATTTGGGTTTATGAATGGATTGTTGCTTTTGAAGATTTAATGAAAGATTATTATGTTTTTTATGTTGTGGATTAATTTTTAAGTATGGGTGATGATTAAAATCAAGTGTATAAGTATCTATAATATTCGACCATAGGAAAGAAAATTACAGAAAAATGTTGAAAATTTTATGGTATAGAATTTATATTAGAAGTATTCTACATGCTTTGGAGATTGCTTTGGATCAAATTCGAAGCTTAAAATATAAAAAGATAATATTTTACAAGTTTTGAGAATTGTGAGATATTGATGTATGAATGTGTAAATTGGGGTATTCAATGTTGAAAATGAATTGTGGAATGTTGCATTTTAAGTTAGAGTAATGATTTGGGACCAAAGTGTAAACTTGGTGAATTTTGAAGGTGGAATTCGAATGATCTTAAAATATAGGGACTTGATTGCAAGTTTATTAAATGTGAAAGTATCATGTGGGTATAATACTACAATGCTGGAAATTTATTACTTGGATGTTAAATTTCAATTTAAGTATTTGTTTAGGATTAACTTATAAGAATCGTTAAGATAGTGATTGTAATAAATGATAGTAATAAATAAGGATGACATTACAAGTTCTTAAATGTTGAAGTATTGATTTGAGTATATTATTGAGGTGCTTTAATTTTTAGTAATTAATGTGAAGTGATCATAATGGTGAATGACCATTATGAATCAAATAGAAAAAGTTAATATGAATTCTAAAAAGAATTCATAAATCGTGTTTTGAATATAAAGTTGGTAAATGTTGAAGAGTTGATGATGAAAAATATATATTTATGGAATTGATTGATTATTTTGGGATGAAATGTGATTTAGTTTGATGTCGATTTAAGTATCAATTTTATATTATAGACTTTTATATTTTAAGTTTAGATTATGTTAGTATAATACTAACATATAATCTGAATATTTGTGTTATTATGATGATGTTGTCAGACCACAATAAATCTAGCGATCCGAACGACTCAAAAGGAAAGGGTAAAGTACGTGAGTAAAGGAATATTACATAAAGGTTCGATAGTGAGGTAAATGTGAGTGCAATTTATTTATTTAATTATTCTGAATAAGGAAAACTTGTGATAAGTCAACCAAATATGATTTTTTTTAAAGTATGATTTAATTATGACATAATGTTTTTATAAAGGTTTTATGAATAATTTTGGGCATAAATGGCCCAAAGTTTTTTATCTGATGTTATATTTTAAATTATGGATGATATTGGGTATGAATTACCCAAGTTATGAATTTTATATTTGTGAGATAAAAATGATTCTAATTTAAGATGCTTGATTAACAAATGGACATGATATTTTCTGAAAGCCCATTGTATGTTGTATGAGGGAGTCATAGGTACACTTGGCTTGCCATGAAATTGAGTAATTCTGATTTTGATTCCGATTTCGATCTGATACATTCGTGTACATTCTGAATGGCATCGTTGGTGCAAATGATATGATTGCACTTGTAGTGCATATTCTGATTATGATGGTAGCATTGTGAAGTGCATAGTGCACACATATGTGTGACTCATGTGCCTTATATTCTCTCTTACATATACATTGGGCTATGAAAATAAATCTGAAAGTTATGAAAAGTATCTGAAATGAAAAGAATATGATAATGAAATATGAAAGTTCTGAAATTTGTCTGGATGGAAAAGTATATGAAATGATTATTTTGTTTATAATGTTTATCATGATTTTTAATAAAATCATGAGATGATGATTTTCAGGTTTCTGATGAAGAAAATTGACTTGAATATTCAGTTTGATAGTTTTGAGATTTTATTTGAGTTACTTTTAATGATTTATCGTAATTATGATTATTTTAATTATTTTATATCACCTTGAGTTATTAGCGCCTCACTAAGTTTTAATTAGCGCGTAATGACTTTCATGCGTAGGTTCAATTAAGAAATAGAACGTGAAGTAAGGAGCCTCCTGAGCATTTTTTGGAGATCATACTTACTACTTGTATCAGTAAGACATCTGTGATGTTACTTTGGACTGTCAGTGGCATGCATATTTATGTATGTTAGTTGTTCTATCAAATTTGTTTAAAATGGTATGTAATAGTAAACTAGGACCATTTTATTTTGGCTAGTTTGGTTATGTTCATGTTTATGAATGAATAATATATATATTATGTTTTTAAAATGGTTCATAAATTAAGCAGTGTTTAATCAGTTTTATATAGTTTATGAAATAACACTAAACTACATAATTGCTGCCTAAAAACTAGATTCTTTTTTGAATTACTAAATATTATTTTATAATTTACATTATTAATGAAATAGTTTTAAAATCAAGAAGAAAAAAATGTTTTACAATGAACAAAATTTTAAGCATTTATGCTCAACGAATTTCTGTAATGTTTATGTAGCATCAATAACTCGAATTTTGATACGTATATGGGTTATGAGTGTTACATTTATTAGTATCAGAGCTACAGGTTCAGTCGATTCT